GCGTAGGTTGGCTTGATCTCACATGGATTGCAGAGTTAAGTCAAATGGCTCGTTTTCGTCACTTGGATGGTCCCCTGTTATTGGCTCTGATACCTAGGAGGCTTCTCTACCAAAGACGAATACAGCCTTTCAGGCGTTGGCTAGATCCTCACATTTGTGCATAATCCAGAGGAACCAAATTGAAACCGGGTACGCCGGTTGAAATCCTGGAAAGACTGCCTTCATGGCTACTTTCTGCTTAGGTGGAGGCTGCCGTACTGCTAGGATTGGTTTTTTGGGCGGAAGGATTTTCAGAGCATTGGGCTAATTTTAGTCTAGAGTTCTTCATTCTGCTTCAAATAACTCAAAAGTTCCTCGCTTTCTTTTCTGTTCAAAAAGGGACCGTTTGAATGAATTGAATCCTTTTTTTTTTACTGAAACGCCAATGCTCACCGGTGTGACTAGGATTTTATTTACAAAATGGGCAGCTGTTGACCATTGCCTGCTATTTTTGACCATTTATGAGCAGCGTGTATTGAAATCGTGACTAAAATCTCTCGTGTTGTCAACAACGGCTTCAGATATAGGATGTCGCTCGAAGGAGTGCCTGGGGTTTCATCTTAAAGCTTATGAGCCATTCTCACAAATTCATTGGAAATTCGAGGTGCCCGCTTTGTCATTTCGTTTTTAATTTTCGACCAGAAAGACTTGGTTTTTTGATATTCACGACCTTTACACTTCGCTCGAACTTTTGCTGCGATTTGTGATTTTTGAGCGTTTGATCTTTTCAATATTCTGTTAGATCGCTCTGTATCTTACTCGTTCGTAGGTGTGGTACTAGGCCGATCGAGGATCACTGAAGGACGGATCGTATTCCTTTTATTTATAGACACCATACAACGATGAGAGATTACTCCGAAATAGCTCTGCCCTACCGTCAAACCATCTCTCCATTACCGAATCGACAGCTCCCTCTGAGAACTGAAGGCTTTTATGAGGTGGAACCGTATTCCATTGGAAAGCTTCAATTAGTTCAATGGTCAAACCTTTACATGACTGTAGATTAAGCAGTGACTGAAAGGCATTGTGCTCAGTAGTTGGACGGCCCGGTTCTTTTTGATTCCGATCTATTCATTGTCAAACTTTGCTCGACAATATAATTTGTGATGTGTGCTGGCCTTCAGATGGAAAAATGCTTGCCGATGCACACTTATCACGTCATCGGAACAGCCAGGTTCTTGGTTATTCGTGACGTCGTTTTATTTCACCGGAAATCAAACCTGTTCTCGAAGTTTACGTGCAGTGGTGGTCGCCTTCTAGATCTTCCACAATTCCATTGGAACCTTTCCATTGCCAAAGATTTCGCGTTCAAAGTACTTCCTGGGCATTCGGTTCGTTTCCCACGCATTGTTTGTCTTAATGGAGCTGGCAATGTTTACGTAACCGCGGCACTCCTAATGATGGCGAGGTCCCAAGCTTTCAACATCCTCCATTCTGCAACGAATCAGTGTAACTGAGGTTTCCAGTTTTAACTGAGGTTGCTTGTCACGAATTTGTCCTGGGGTTCACTGCTTCGACTCATAATGATAGAGGTGGGACTCTGTGAAAGTCATCATAAACCTGGAAGTATGGTGGTATTCACAGGTGAAAAGAGCTTCTCGCTGCTTCCAATATTGTTTACCTACGGTATGGCTTCGATGACGGCCTAAGCGGTTTGTTGTAGAGTTTCCACAAGACGAGTATGGCTTCAAACTGTGAAGTAAAGTTGATTACAGAATTGTGACTGAGCTCAATAAAAACAGAACGCCCCGGAACAAAGTTGTTTTCTTTTGTTCGTCAGTGTAGTATCTCCTTATCGGGGACTGTTCATTAATCTGGCATAAACTCGATGTTTTTCCTGTGTCGCAGGGGTAATGCCAATGCTCTTTAGATTTATTCGTCTGGTGTGATGCTAGTGATGTAAATGGTTGAATAAACAACTATTCTGACCGTTCTTAATGCCTTCAATTACTCATGTTTACCATTTTAGTGTTTTTCATGGCATTCGCTTTACAAAGATTGCTTAATTGTACTATATTTTGATGAAATTTTGGACTACTGATTAGTGATTTTGCTTTGCATCTCTTTCAACCTCGAAAAAGATAATTTCAAAGGTTTTAATAAAAGGTATGATGCACTAATAGCAGTTTTGACTTGCTCTTTTTTGATTTGTTGTTGTTTGGAATGTACAGTTTTGTTCAACGGGAAAGCCTCTCTCTGAAAAAAAAGGCGGTCTTGTTGCGGTACTTGCACAACTACTTTGCCTTTTTTTCGGATTTATGTGGGCAAGAAGAGAGGGTTTAGGCAGTGGAAAAGACAATTTCAAAGCAACGACCGGTTGAAAATATTGCGATTATACGAAGAAGTTTGGTACCATTTTTTTCTTCATTCTGTGCCCCTCTTCATTAAAAAGGAAAAGTATTTTTTAGGTAGAATTAGTTTTTCTTTGAAGAAATCATCAAGTAAAAAAACTTTATAATTTCGTTTTGATTTATTTTTTTGAATTTTGATGAACTAAATTAAACTTCTATTTCCACAGCACTTTGATATTGAAAAGAGAAAAATTTGTCATATATAGAATCATATTTTTCGAAAAACGCCCAAGTCGAAAAAAAAATTTCGATCTACTTCTGTCAAACGTGATCTCATTATTTGAATTTTGTCGATATAGTTTTGTTTGAATTTACATTTGATTTTTCAATCTCCTGATTGTTCTGATACTTCTCAGTCTTTCCACTGAATTTTTCAAAAGTTCTGTACTTTAATTACCCATTGCTATATTATCGACAGATGTTGATACTGTTCATAAGGCTCATTTATTGTTTGATGAACAATATCAATGTTGAAATGATCTTCATTGAGAGCTTTTCTAAGTTACTGTCCACCACGGAAAAAGGTTCTTCTTCATAAAAGAACTTCGAACAGGAAGTTGTCGATCTTTGTTACAAAAGGGCCACTCGCGACAAGGACAATAACAATCATCCAACAAACACTAACTGTGTAAGTAGCACTTTTGTGGAACGTAAGGGTCTACTTGCCACTGATTAGTCTCGTCTGCACGCAAAAAACTGGACTGCGTCGTGTTTTCGCTGAATATGAAGTGCTCGACGATGGGGGTGGAGGACGTCAATCGTGCAGGATTTCATTAGCCTGTCCGTAGTAACAAACTGAACTTTCGTATTGACGAGGTCTGCTCATAGGAGCGAGCGAATCGTGAGTAAAGCACCGAGATGCATTTCTGCCATCAGAGCTCGGTTTCGCCTTTAGTAAAAAAA